TATATAAATCCAGACGTGACTGTACAAATTATCTGCCTGGGACATCACACATGGTACACTACAATTACAGGCTATTTAGTATGAGTCTTGGGATCCTGCTATGGGTTTTAACTGTCTCCCAAGTTTCCAGTTTTGCTAGAAGCGCTTAAGAGTACATGCCTTCTTATAGATCTCATATTGCTTCTCTGCATCCCTCTGACTGTCCCACGAGTGTGAGCTCTGCCTGATACGCCTCCTTCTAGAGAGGATGTGCTCTTAGGGGACCCTTCTGATGCCTCCTTCTAGAGAGGACGTGCTCTTAGGGGACCCTTCTGATGCCTCCTTTTGGAGAAGACACTGTCTTAGGGGAACCTTTTCTCAGCTGTGGCCAGCTTTGCTGCACCGTCACACACCCGTGAGACAGAAACCCTGCTTGTGATAGTCACAGTTCTCCTGGGGTGAGGGAGTTTGTGCTAAACTAGGATCCTTGCTTTGCAGTGAAGCCACAGCCAGAATGTCAAGCAGCGTGGACATAAACACCGGTCTGGTAGTTAATCTCGTTGCCTTCAATGGGAATGGCCTAAAACTTAAAAATAATATATCTCTTTAGTTTTCATTGTGATTCTAACTATGTTAGGTTTGGACTTTAAGAAAAGTTATAAAAACAAAACTGCGAGCTGTGAAGCCATCATCAGTGGGAAGGAAAGAATGAAGCTGGGGTGGGAGGGCTTGAAGCCAGAGCACCTGGCGCGTTGTCTCCTCGGCCCAGACAGCTCCTTCATCTGCCTGGTCTTCACTGGGGACAAGGACACTCTCACAGCTGTGCTTCAGCGCCTGGGCGGGCCATCTTGTATTATTCAGACCTGTGCTACAGTAGGTAGAAGGCAGACCCATTCTTTGTTAGGAGCGCCTCGGCGTGATGGGCGTGTTCTGGGGTACAGTTAAGAAAGGAGACTGCTGTGCGACAGATCGGAATGAATGAATGAATGAATGAATGAATGCTGTCAGCCCTGGGTGTAATTATCATACAGTAGACAGTGGAAAAGAAGAACAAGGACTGGGGTCGGGAAGGAGCGAGGGAAAGAAAGAAACGGGGAGGGAGAGAGGAGACCAGACATTGCCTTGCACAGGTAACACAGGCTCCTATCCTTCACTGGCAATCAAAAAAAGAAAAGAAAAACAAACAAACAAAAAAACCAGAACAAACCTATCAACAGCAGCCCTTTCAGGATGGAGTCCAGGTGTGTGCTCTTTCTCTGTGTATGTCCACCAGACTTGGGACAGAATATTTACAGTGACCCTAGCAGGCCTCAGGAGGCCTAGCTAAGCAACAGGGCCGGAGATTAGCAAGACTTACAGAGAAAGCAAACTGTTGAGAGGCAGACCCAATCCCCCCTGCTCCCTCTCACCCACTACAGAGGCTGCAATGGAGATTTGAAGGGCGTAGGGTTCTATGACTCCTCGGAGTGTCCGGTCATTTGAAGGATGACAATCTGGACTGGTTTCAGTAAGACACTGGGAGTGTCTTGTCAACTCGAGAGCATAAAAGGAATTTGGGAGCGACACGGAGGGGGCACATTTTCTCTTAAACTGCCCAGAGTCTGTGCTTGGCAGATGAGCTTGGGTTGACCCTCAGATTCTAATGTGCACAGCTCAAACCCTCACTTTCTTCCTCACACACTGACAGGCACACTCACCAAGATCCTAAACCAGAGCTGGGAGACTGTCCTTCCACTCTTGAAGTATACCGGGAACACACTCATCTCAGGGTCACTGGAGTACGTTCTCCTGATCTCTTCTGAAGAGAGTAGTAGGCTTGCTCCAAGCTGAGCAGAGCTAGGACTATGGTTCCCCATAGTCACACTTGGGGAAATGAAGATTCTAAGTAGCCACAGCCTCAGGCTCGTGCATGGGTGGCCACACATTTGTGACTTCAGAGGGATCCTCCCTGGGGCCTCTGAAGCTGCTTCAGAAGTGGAAGGCTAACTACCCTCACTGAGCAGTGCTTTGGTTTTCTTATCAGTAAAATTTACCTCACAGGATTCAAACCACAATGGGAGCCATGGTACAAAACCTGTCATAAGCCTTTGTTACAGCCCAGATCTCCCTTGGTTGATCAGGTTTTGCTATCAGAAGAGCTCTCTCCTCTCTGTGGAGTCAAAGCAGGCAGCAAGGGTGTTGGGATCTCCTCTAAGACCTTTTAACAGCTAACCTTTCGGGATAAACCAAGATGTAAATGCTTACCGCACTTTCATTAGCATAAGCGCTAATGTAACGCAGCTGTCCCACGGCTATAAAACACTGAGGACTGTGTCTCTGCTTGGCGTGTGGAATATTATTTTTTCTCTTACTGAACCGATTCAATGCTCAACTCTGTCGTTATTTGAGTTGGAACTTTAGATTGGTGCATTTTAATGCACTCTACTATTAGGGCCTGTTGGACAGCCGTGAGAAAATATTTTTGTTCTCACGACGCAATCCCGGCCCAGGTAGCCAATGGGCAAAATATGATTTACACAAATATTTTCTTTTCTGGAGTGTATACTAAAAAGAAACCTTAGGATGGAGCTGGAGAAAGCTTCTTCCTCAGCATGGGGTTATCTGGGCAAGGCTGGCTGGCACATAAAGTCAGAGCTTTTCAGCTCGCCTCATCTCTGAAATCACGCTACTTTGCTAACGTCCGGTATTCCTGGGGGACGCTTCTGTTCCAGGGAAAGAAAAATTCCATCAGCTATCTCGGAGTTTTCTTGCCAAATTGAAGGCAGGGTAGGAAAAGGGAGCTGCAGCTGTGGGTTTTGGATTCCGAGTGAGGTTGATCCCGCATGTCCCTTGTCTCTTTTTGTCTAGAACAAAGAGGTGACTTGCAAGAGAGAGAAGTGCCCCGTGCTGTCTCGGGACTGTGCGCTGGCCATTAAGCAGAGGGGCGCCTGCTGTGAGCGATGCAAAGGTGAGTGGGCCCTGGCCACTTTCTCTGCCGGCTGTTGCTCTGGGCACCTTCAGTTCTCGCTCTCACCTTTCTTCCCTTCTAGCTCTTGGCTGGAACACAGGTGGGTGTCAGGAGGGAAATCGGAGCATTGTGTACACAGGCCTGGCACGGGAGCTGCCAGGAACGGGGTGCGAGGGGCTGAAGACGCACGCAGATCTGCACATTTGGTACATTTTCCGAGGCAAGTTGTTAAAACGCCGTGGCAGAGAAGATGCAAACGTGACGCCTATGCACATCTGTACACATGCATATGGGCGTGTTTTGTCAAGAAGTTTCAACACTTGGTTTTTCCAGGCTCCACGCTCGTCTAGCCCTCCTCTGCCAGAGGAGTCTTTAAACCCAAATTTTATCATTTTGGTTCCTATTAAAAAATTTTTTTCCTTCCCAAATTAAATCTCTGTTCTCCCGCTCGTCTTTGAAGCAGCCCCCAAGTCTCCTGCCCCCAGCCCTGGTGCCCTCACGCTTGTCTGGAATGCTGTCTGGTGGCGCCTGCTGTTGGCTTTGGCCCAGGTCTTTCCTACCACCCTGGCCAGGGGCTGCGGCATCGGAGGCCCCTGGCTCTCCCTTGACACTTGCCCCAGGAACTTTCTGTGGTGTGTAGTTCACACAGACAATTCAGCATTGTGTGTCCATTTTTGTTATTTCGTTTTAGTGCAGGGACCTGCCTCTAGAAGGCAGAAGTGGGGTCTGGTCTTGAATGGTGTGTGGATATATAGTGCGGTGTGGTATAGTGATACCTGAAACTCAGTCCCAAGAGTTAGGCCTGAAATACTCTGCTAAGTCAGAACACAGCAGTACATGTCAGGGTGGAGAGTCCCCAAAAGTTCATATAGGCTCAGAAAGGGTTTGCTTACTGAGAAATGCTTCTTGTGGATATCGTCTAATCAAAAAGCGATCATCTTGGATTAGGGGTAGCCCCAATGCTAATGTGACCAGTAAGTGTCTTTATGCAAAAAGAAAACTAGACAGACACAGAAAATAGGGTTGTGGCCCAAAGAAGCAGAGGCTGGAGCAATGAATGAGGCTTGAGGAAACTCCCGAGGCAGCTGGAGCTGATAGAGGCAAGGGGCTCTTCCCCTAAGGAGTTCCAGATGGGCACCTGAGGACCAGCACCTTAATTTTTGACTCCTGGTCCTTCACTGTGAGAGACCAACTTTCTGTTACTGTTTTTAAACTATTTATTTAAATTGATAAATAATGTCTTTGTATAGTGTCAGATACAGTGTGATATGCATGGGTGTGCAACCAGCACATTAGAGCAATTAGCATGCCTGACACCTCAAACATGTAGTTACATTTGATATTTATTATTTTGTCCTTCTAAAAACCATATATTTTGAGAATTTCATACACTTAGTGTACTTTAATCAAATCTGGCCCCAAATTCCTTTCTCTCCAACTTCATCCATGTCTCCTGCACCACGGATTTTCCCTTCCAACTTCATGTACTCTTTTTTAAAAATAAAAAATCTCAGCATTCACCTAGTGCTGCCAGAATGTGTAGGGCCAGCCATGGATAGTGGGCAATAGGGGCTGCGACTCTCTTTCCCCCGCAGGATCCATCCACTGCCAGTAGACCCCTAGCTAGCCGCAGAGCTCTGTGAGTCCCTCCACTATCGGCGATGGCATTTTGACTGGCTTGAGTTTGGTCAGGTCTTGTTTGTGTATGTTCAGTCACTGGATCACACGTGCCACAGGCCTATCAGGTCTAGAAAACCCCATCTGCAGCAGTCGCCTGCAGCCTTTGGCTCTGAAAACCCTCCTGCACCCTCTCCCGTGACGATCCTTGAGCTTTGGCAGGGTGTGGTATGATATAGAGGTCCCGTCATTTAGGGTTAAACATTCTACAGTTTCCTGTTCTCTGCACTTTGATCAGTTGTGAGCCTCTGTATTAATCATGATGAGAGCAGAGCTACACTGACGTTTGGGTAAATAGATACGTATTTATAGATTGAAGACATGCTCACTTTGAAGAATAATAGTAGAAGTTTCTGCCCCAGGACCTTATAACTTAACCTTGAGTTCTTGGCTCAGTTAACGATATCATTCATGAGTTAAATCTTGTGAAGCAGATCGGAAATCTAATCAGTGTGGTCGATTACTCCTATAACATTTGTGCCACTATTGCCCCAAAGGGCCTAGCTTGCCAGGCTGATCATTATTATGGGTTTTTGGGTTTATAGTTGAGTAAGACCAATGAGACTACTTTTCTTCTTTTCCTCAATAGTGTGCACAGCACCTTCTAACACTATGAAAGCTAGCCAGTGGGGATGATGTTTCCAGATCACTGCCAGCATGATTCTTCCCTGTCCTATGACTCATGTATGTGGTACCTGCAACCGATAGATATCAGAGCTGCCTCACTTGCTGCTTATTGTGGATAGAACAGCAATGAGCATTGACAAGCTCTAGAACAGAATATAGAATCCCTTGAGAATATCCCCAGGAGGAGTATTGCTGGATCCTATGATAAATCTGTTTCCAGCTTTTTGAGGAACCTCCACAGTGATTTCTGTAGTAGCTGAACATTCTACCAACAGGGAATAGTTATTTCTTTTCTCATATCATTTATGTAATCTCTCTCTCTCTCTCTCTCTCTCTCTCTCCTCTCTCAGTAGCTATTCTGACTGGGTTAATATGAAATATTAAACAGTTTTAATTTGCATTTCCTCATTTCCCTGATGGTTAAACATGTTGAGTATTTAAAATAAAATTTCTTAGACATTTGTATCTCTTCCTTTGAGTTCTCTCTGTTCAGTTTCATAGCCCATTTTAAAACTGGGTTGTTTTCCTGATGTTTAGTGGTCTAATTTTTTTGTACATTCTAGGTACCAATATCCTGTCAGATACACAACACTCTGTGGGCTCTACTTCCCTCTGCTGATGTCATTGTGTGGTGTAAGAAGCCTCTTAGTCTTATGATGTGGGATTCCCCTCTGTGTGCTGTGATTACCATTTATGAATAAAGAAACTGTTTTGGACCTATAGCAGGACAGAACTTAGTTAGGCAGGGAAAGCTAAGCTGAATGCTGGGAGAAAGAAGGGTGGAGTCAGGGAGAAGCCATGGAGCCACTGTCAGAGACAGACATGCTGAAACCTTGCTGGTAGGCCATGAGCCTCATGAGAAATTATAAAATACTGGAAGTGGGTTAATACTAGATGTAAGAACTGGCTAGCAATACACTTAAGTGATTGGCTAAGCAGTGATTTAAATAATATAGTTTCTGTGTGGTTATTTTGGGAGTCTGTGTGGCCGGGAAAACAAACAAGCAGACTCCTTACTACAGTTTTACATAGTCCTATGGCCAAGTGTTCTTAATTCATGTGTTAGTGTGGTGCTGTTCAGGAAGTCCTTACCTGTGCCTGTGTTCTGCATTTTCTCTAGCAGATTTAGAGTATCAGGTCTTACACTGAAGTCCTCCATCCATTTAGGGTGAATATTGTGTAGGGTAGGAAATAAGTATCTGGTCTTATCCTTCATGTAGCTATCCAGTTTATCCATAATTTCTTGTTGAAAAGGCTGTCCTTTCTCCTGGAGTAGTTTTGACATCGCTGTCAGAAATTAGCTATAGGTTTAAGACCTTGTATCTGGTTCCTCAGTTCTATTCCATTCATAAGTGAGTTTGTTTTTATGCCAGTGACATGCTGTTTTTACTACCATATCTCTTCAGTGCAATTTAACTTTAAAAATCAGGTATGGTTATACCCCTACTAGTTCTTTCATTGTTCAGGATGATTTGGTTATACTCTGTGTGTGTGTGTGTGTGTGTGTGTGTGTGTTGTGTGTGCGCGCGCACGCACACACGCCTTTTTGTATGCAATTTAAGATTTCTTCAGTTTCTGGGAAGAAATGCATTAGAATTTTGATGGCATTACAGTGAATCTGTAGAATATTTTGTTATTCTTTAGCCATTTTTACAGTATTAATCTTATCAATCCATAAGATTGTGGCATTTCTATACTCTGGTATCTTCTTCAGTTTCTAACAGTTTTAATGTTTTCATTCTAGAAGTCTCTCACTTTGTTAGTTTTATTCCAAGATATTTTTGAAGTTATCGTGAGAGGGATTGTTCTCCCTTTTCCTGTCTCTGTCATTGCCTGCAGGAATAGTAGTGACTTTTGCGGATTAATTCTATGTCCTGCCGTCTTGCTGGAAGTGTTTATTAAAAATTAAGTTTTCTGGTGGAGGGGTTAGATTATACATATCATCATATCACATGTAAATAAGAACATTTAATGTCTTCCTTTCCTATTTGTGTGCGCTTTATCTCCTCTTGTTTTATTTTTCTAGCTAAGACTTCACTCAGTATATTGAATAAGGAAGGGTGGACATAGTTTCTTGTTTCTGGTTTTAATGCAAATGCATCACAATTTTCTGTTAGTATGATGCTGTCTGTGGGCTTGTTGAAGCTTGCCTTTATTATGTTGCAATCTGGCCCCCAAATGTCTAGATTCTCTAGGACTTTTAGCATGAAGACATGGTGTATTTTGTCAAAGCCTATTCTGAGATGATCATGTGGTTTTTGTCCTTGGATTTATTTATGTAGTGAATTATATTTATTTTTTATATATGTTGGGCCATTCCTTTATCACTGGGATGAAGCTGTCTTGATCGTGGTGGATAATGTTTTTTTTTTATTCAGTCTTCAAGTATCTGATTTAGTTTTTACATCTATGTTCATCAGTGAGATTTGCCTATAATTTTCTTTTCCTTTCTTTTGTGTGTCTTTATCTGACTTTGGTATCAGTGTGATGCTGGCTTTGTGAAAGGAGTCTGGAATTAGTCTTTGCTTTTTCTATATTATGGGATGGTTTGAGAATAACAAGTTTTACTTATTCGTTAAAGGTCTGGGTGATGCAGAGTCTGGAGTTTTTTGGTTGGGAGATTTAATTATTTATTTATTTGTTTCAGTCCCATTCCTTGTGATGGATCCATTTAAAGTTGTAAATCTCTTCTCTAT